TTGGATTCTGTTTGCTAGAATTTTGTTAAGGATTTTTGCATCTATGTTCATCAGTGATATTGGCCTGTAGTTTTCTTTTTTTGTGGCATCTTTGTCTGGTTTTGGAATTAGGGTGATGGTGGCCTCATAGAATGAGTTTGGAACACAGACATCTTTAAAATTCAAATAGCCCTAATAATTCAAGGTCCTATTCTGAGAGTGTTTTTGACAATTCTATAGTCTCCAAAGAATAAAAACTAGTCTTGGAATTAAAATATACATGTTTCTAAGAACAACAATAGTTTCAAATAAAGATCAGTTATTTGGACAAAAACTGCATCTTCCTGATATTTGTGTGTAAAGAGAATCTTCAGGTGTCTATTAGTCATGATACCACAAGTCAGGTGGACTAATCAGATGAGGAGACCAAGACCCCAGAAGTCTTTCTCCCACACCAGCAGAATTTGGTCTCTGGCTGTGTCTTGATTCTAAACTTACTGGTATTTCTTTAGAAGTTGAAGTCATTTCCAAATAAAACTCACATGTTGCTCTTAACATCTAGAAGTGACTGACACATACTGCATGCATATGTGCTCAGTTGCTGTAGTCACACCCGACTCTTTGAGACGCTATGGACCATAGCCCGCCAGACTCCTCTGTCCAGGGGATTCTCCAGGCAAGAATTCTGGAGTGGCTTGTCATGCCCTCCTCCAGGGAATCTTTCCAACCCAGGGGATCAAACCTGCGTCTCCTGCGTCTCCTGCATTGACAGGCAGGTTCTTTACCACCAACACCACCAGGGAAGCCCATCAGATATATACTAGGCACTCCCTAAATGCTTGTTGACTAAATGAATATCATTTAAAAATATCCAGGAACATAATATCCTTAGCTGTTTTGAAAGGATAAGTCCATGTTATACCAATCGATTTTCTATGGTATAGAACAGGATGCTCACCAGACATAATACTCATAACACTTCACATTGTTTATTGAGCATTAAGCCACATGACAGAACAATTTAAATACCACAGGAATAAATCCTATAATCATAGATCACCCTGGACGATATTTCAATAAGGCTTTACCTCACTGACAAGTTCAAAGACATGGAAACATGATTTTTTTAATCAACAGAAGTCACAGTCAAATAATGAATAAAAGCTATATTCACTGAGGTTAACTTGTAGCAAATAATATTTCTTCATTGATGAGTGGCTGAAAAGGTGCAATCATGGGATTCTTTCTGGATAACTCTGGGGAAAGATTGAAGGTAGGAGGAATAGGGGATGACAGAGGATGAGATGGCTGGATGGCACCACCAGCTTGATGGACATGAGTTTGAGTAAACTCTGGGAGTTGGTGATGGACAGGGAGGCCTGGCGTGCTGCAGTCCACGAGGTCACAAAAAGCCCTGAACTGAACTGGAGAAGAAGGAGGTGCCACATACAGGCTGGGTTCCGAGGAGCTGGGCTGATACATAGTTTCCTCTCATTCCAGTCTTCAGATAATTTCAATTTTTGATCTCTACAGGGGAAAAAAAAGAACAGGAACATATGGCTATATTTTAAAAATGTGAAAGTCAGAATTTTGTATACTCCTCGGAACACAGAGAAGGAATATACTTTTCCATCTGTGAAGTGGAAAAGAGTTTGAACTGGAAGAAATGAGCTTTTATTGCCAATCTGGCTTCTCTATGATTGTTGTTGTTTTGTTGCAAAGTTATGTCTGACTCTTTTTTTAATTTTTTTTTTTTTATGTCTGACTCTTTTGCAACCCCATGAACTGTAGCCCACCAGGTTTCTCTGTCCATTGGATTTTCCAGGCAAGAATACTGGAGTGGGTTGCCATTTCCTTCTCCAGGAGATCTTCCCGACCCAGGGATCGAACCAGGTTTCCTGTGTCTCCTGCACTGACAGGCAGATTTCCCATGGAGTCACCTGGGAAGCCCCTTCTCTATGATACATGTTATTAATGCCACCTAGAATCTTGGCCCCATTTCCTACCTTATGTAAAATAGGGATAGTTCCTCCTTTCCTACAGAACTGTGACCATTGCATTTGTTGTAATTTACATAAGCACACGAGGCTTCCTCCGTGACTCAGTGGTAAAGAATCTGCCTGCCAATGCAGGAGACAGGGGGTTGATCCTTGGGTTGGGAAGATCCCCTGGAGGAGGGCATGGCAACCCACTCCAGTATTCTTGCCTGGAGAATCCCATGGACAGAGGAACATGATGCACTGCAGTCCATGGGGATCACAAAAAGTCAGACACGACTGAGCACATTAACATAAGCACAAGTAAAACCAAAGTATTAAGATTTTCATCACTCTAATTAATCTGACTAAAACATATATGCATTGTGATTTACTATTGTATCCTCCATTTAAAAAAATTTTCCTTTTCGTTACCTTTGGAATTGGTGGCAAGTATAGTGAAGGACAGAGAAGCCTGGTGTGCGCAGTTCAGGGGGTCACGGAGCCGAACATGATTTAGTGACTGAACAACAAATAATGACTCCACATGGGCTTCCCAGGTGGCGCTAGTGGTAAAGACTCCTGCCTATGCAAGAGACATGAGACCTGGGTTCAATCTCTGGAGGAAAGATCCCCTGGAGGAGGGCATGGGAACCCACTTCAGCATTCTTGCCTGGAGAATCCCCATGGACAGAGGAGCCTGGAGGCTACAGTCCATGGGGTCACAAACAGACACGACTGAAATGACGTAGCACGCACACATGCATAATTACTCCAGAGTAATTGTTACTTCTATCAGAGACCTGCCTCTTTCAGATGAGTTTTCTGAGCTACAGTCTCCTGTGTTGTTCCAGGCATAGGGGAATAAGGCATGATAAGATACACAAACATAGAGTCGCAGAAATGTTCCTCTAGAACATTTGCCTGTGTGGTTTTTTTTGAATTTATCTTATTCCCCCCACATACACACACACCCCCACCACACACAGAGATGCTTATTGTGGAGCAGTGGAATGATCTGGAACTATAGGCCTCTTCCCAACACCTTCCCAAGATGCTCAAGCTCTAACTGGGGTGTTGCTCCCTGAAGGGTGATCCCTCAGCTTATGAGCAGCAGACCTTTAGGAAAGGGGTTTGCTGAGCCAGGAGAAGGACCTGATATTTCAGGACACACCCTGAAAGAGGCATGTCTCTGACCTTATGGGCCAGAAGCCTGGGACGGACCTCTCACGTAAATTCAATGCAATAGTTAACTTCCAATTTTTTGAGGACTACACAGCAGTTCCCAACCTTTTCAGCACTGGGGACTGGTTTTGTCAAGGATAATTTTTCCATGAACCATTTGTGGGGGGATGGTTTCAGGATGATTCAAGTGTGTTTCATTTATTGTCCACCTTATTTGTATAATTATTATATTAGCTCCACCTCAGATCATCAGGCATTAGATCCTAGAGGTTGAGGATCACTGCACTATAGTATTAATATCTCAGGTACTCATAGTTAAAATTAAGAGCCCAGAAGATCAAGTCGTATGCACTCAGAAAACTAATTCCATCACACATTTAGGTTCTGCATCCCCCATGGGTGTTGACAGATGGGCACAAAGCAGAAAAAGAAAGAAAGAAAAGTTGGAATGAGGATGCAATGGCTGGAGTATGAACAACCATTTTGGGCCATGAGACAGGTGTTCTATGTTGATGCTAAAAATAGCAGGGAAGCAAGAAGGAAGGATCCTGGGATCCTGATGATTCTTAAAGCCCCACTGTTGCCCCTTGATTGCCTTTCTTTAAACTCTTTCTAGAGAGATATAAATCTATTATTTGTTTAAACAATATAAAAAAAGAAAAGCTGAAGCTCCTACCACCCACCTCCCCCAAGTGGGGCAAAAGGAAGAAGAAAGAAATCAAGGTGGTGGGAAAACTCCAATGGAATGACATTCATAAAATAACCTAATGCGAAGGCTCTGAAGACCCTTGCAGTTCAACAGACATCATTCCAACTTGTTTCAATGCTGTGTTTGTGAGATGCTTTTCTTACAAGTCACCTGCCCACTGTCTTCAGGGTTTCTATAACTGATAAACAATAGTTTAACATTTTCTTTCTCTAAATCAACATGAACGTGTCCTTCCTGACAGCAAACCAGCCGTCATGTCAAATTCCTTTTTGAGTGTTTTCACTCATTTTCATTTATCTACCATTTGCCAGTTTGTAAGCTGCTATAACTGTAAGCTGGGAGTAACACTGGAGAAAGCTGAGGGGATATTATAGAGATGTATGACTGATAGTGTCAAATAAAAGAGTACAAAGTAGAAATCTCTCGAAGTTTCTCAAGACTCCCTATGTGGTATGTGCCTACTTCTCTGGGCCAGACAGGGCTGGCTCTATCTCTCTCTTTTAGGGTGGAGGGACTTCTCCCCACAGGGCGGCTTACCTGCCATTCCGTCCCCCGGTGCTCTTAACACCTTGGCCGCCATCTCCTGGATGTGCTCCCAGGCCCGCTGCACATGGGCCAACTCCACCGTGCGTGAGCAGATGGCAAAACGCAGCACGAACTGGTCTCTCAGGGAGCAAGGAACCAAGTGGATTTTTTTGGCACTGTTTATGCTTTCCAGAAGAGCTTCGTTCAGTTTGTTGGAAGCCTGCAGTTTGAGAAAGGCAGCACTCAGATCTTTGGAGGCTCAAACTTGTATCACGACGCGAGGTAGGTGCTGGGTGATGCAGTCCACAGTCAGCGGGAGAACCGCCTCAGCACAGGCCTTTCATTTGCAGTCATAAAAAATCCAACTAAGTAGTCGTTACGTGGGCCTGAATGAGGGCTGCCTCCCGTGTACAACAATTTGCTCATGTTCCAGTGTGCTGTCAAAAGATGAACCTTCTGTGACCCAGCTTTACAAAGAAGAAATGAAGGTTCCGAGACGTGTTACCTGTAAGTTGATGAGCTTAAGCAGCAGAACTGAATAATGGCACCAGTGAATGGAAACATACAGAAGAAATCTCACAATACAGTAAGTCTCCTGCGTAGGAGCCTTGACATTGTGAAATTTCAAAGATGAGAGTGTGCACTCACACGTGCAGTCACATCAGCGTGTCCGGTGCAGCGGGTCATGTGCCTGCATCCTCTGCAAGCTGCGCTCTTGGGCCGTTTACTGCACAGTCGCGGGTAGAGTGCAGTGGGTGGGTGAAGTGAAAGCCGCTCACTCGTGTCCGACTCTCTGCGACCCCGTGGACTCTACAGCCCAGGGAATTCTCCAGCCCAGAGGACTGGAGTGGGTAGCCGTTCCCTTCTCCGGGGGATCAGAGTGTAGTAGGGAGGTATCTTTATTTCGTGCCCAGGAAGTCTGGAGGTGAGCGTAAAAGCAGTGATGCTACGCCTGGTCCTACTGTGCCATTCGAAGTACTGTACTATACGATCAAAAATGCTTTCTCTATTTTTGTTTATTTTTTAATGTAATATTTGTGTGAAAAGTATTACAAACCTATTATAGTACTTTATACCAATTGTGTTAGTTGGGTACCTAGGCTAATTTCACTAAACCTGCAAACAGACTAAACTTAACGAATGCCTTCTTGGAATGGAATGACTTCCTATGTAGGCAATTGCTGTGTAGAAAATGGAGCGTAATAGGCAGCTTCTGGCTAGACTCTTGGAAAACTGTCCTCGAACTGTGAACCAGAGGCCCATCAGTGGCCCTGCCCTGGAGGGGCGCAGCCCGCCAGCCTTGGACGGGGAGGCTGGGGGCCCCACACCAAGAGGCCCAGGTGGAGGGCGTGCGTCACACAGACTGGGAGCCGTGCCCTCCCGTCTGCTCAGGCAGGTTACCCTTCTCGTCCTTGCCCGCCTCTGTCTTGGTTCTGTCCTCAGGCAGGGACTCCACCCCCACATGCCTCATGCTTGATGTAGAAGGGCCTGGACGCGGGGCCAGCGTCCTGGGTCGCATGACCCGCTGTAGACTGTACTGTTCTCGCTCGGTCTTGAGAGCAGGGAGGACAGTGGGAAGAGAGATGTCCTGGTCGGCTGGAGGCAGGACCCGGGCCTCACATCTGTGCAGAGTCTGCAGGTCGCCGACTGGCGTGAGGCTCTGACCAGTGGCCCGTGGACAGTGTATGGGCCCAAGGCCACCTAGAAACTGCTGCTGCATCAGATCCAGTTAGAGCAGGTTCTGCTCCAGGATGAGGGTGAGGAGGTGGAAACGACAGTTTGAAAGGATGGAACTTCACCAGAAAGATTAATGGAAGAGCAAATGCCTGAAAGTGCCATAGGCAGGAAATAAAAGCAAGCAACTCAGGAAAACTTTGCTCACCATTTTCAAATGGATCAGACAAGATATGTTTTCTACTAAGCAGAGGCAAAGACAGAAAACAGCCTGAGGTGTAACCACGGCAGCAACAGCAGACTTGACCTCCAGAGCAGACGGCAACAGGGCAAAGGAAAACATAACAAGATAGCAGACGCGGAGGCAGGAGACGAGCGAGAATGCCCGGACAACTTGCCTCCTCAAGGAGAAACTGGATTCACGGAATAGAAGTAACAAGTTTCACAGAAGAAACGTTTTGCTTTCTGAGAAGCCCCTGGGCACCCAGGGCAGGAAGGGACATGCGAGTAGCTTTGCCCAAGTAAATGGGGAGGAGAAAATAAAAGTCTTGACTTTGACAATGTGATGCCCATTGAAAGAAGCTGGTCACAGAAGGTAGCACAGTGATGGTCCCATTAACATGAATGTCTGGAGCAGACAGGTCCACACAGACAGAAAGGAGATCCGTGGCCCCAGGAATGGGGCTGGGGCTTCCTTGAGGGAGAATGAAGATGTTCTCTAGCTAGATTGTGGGGATAGCCATGCAACCCCAGGGACAGGTTAGACATCACTGAAATGTATAGTTTATATGGACAGAGTATATGGTATGTGGATTACATCTCAATAAAACTGCTAAAATTTAAAAAAATTAAAATCCATCAAGAAAATTGGCGGTAAAAACAAAAACAACTGCTTGATGGCAAAAACATCACATCTATTGGCTGCCAGCAGCAGCACAGACTGAATCGCACCCACTGCTCACCCTGTGGGGCCCTGCTCCTGGCGCCAAAGCTGACCACTGCCCTCTGTGCTCAGGTGTCTGTGACGCCCCGCCCTCTGGGCTCAGGCGTCTGTGACGCCCCGCCCTCTGGGCTCAGGCGTCTGTGACGCCCCGCCCTCTGGGCTCAGGCGTCTGTGACGCCCCGCCCTCTGGGCTCAGGTGTCTGTGACGCCCCGCCCTCTGTGCTCAGGTGTCTGTGACGCTCCGCCCTCTGTGCTCAGGTGTCTGTGACGCTCCGCCCTCTGGGCTCAGGTGTCTCTGTGTGAGCCTCACATCTCCCTGCCAGGTCTTGAGTCACGACTCTACTCTCTTGCCTCCAGGTTTTTATGCGTGGTTCTCACCAGCCCTGAAAGCCTGTGTAGTCAGTGTGAGGAGGAAAGGGTAAGACCAGGGCCACGTTTGGATGGGCAGCACCTTGACAATCGGTGATTCCATCAGGCCTTCTACTGCCTCCCTTTGTGGACTTGGACACGGAGGCCTGTGGATAGGATTGGCTCTGCAAATGGAAAGCTAGCCAGAGAGTGGTCAGGGTGTTAGGGCTAAGCTACTGGCTTCCTCCACATGAGGCTGGTTGATAAGGGCCCTTGTGAGCAGTGCCCTTTGAGTTTGTGGAAAACATGGTTGTGATTCTCAGCAAAGGTGGCTGATACCCTCAGGCAGCAGAACGACAGAGCCCGCGGGAGCAGCACCCCTCAAACCCCTGTTCCACCAGCAGCTGGGGGCATATGGGGTGCGAGTCAGCGGGTCCCAAGTGAGGTCTCTGGGGAGCTCAGTCGATGGATGGATGGATGTAATGAATGACAGCTTCCTCTCTTCCCAGTCAGGAAAATGCAGACAATGAAGTCGACTTAGACATACCTTTAGCCGGAAACAGACCAGTCCCAGAGTGACTTCTGCACAGATTTCAAACCGGGTGTCCTGGCGCACCAATGCCTCAAACGCATGGGACAGCTGGACGTGCTGGAAAGGGAAGGGACATTTGTCTTGAGTCTCTTGTCACGACTTGATTCACAACTTCACCGCCTAGAGAACAGTATCAGACCATGCATCTGTAACTCATTAGCATGCCTTAGCCATTTTCTTCCAACACTGATGTCACCCATGCCCCGCTGTCCCCACAGAGGGTGAGAAACTCGTTACCAGGAGAAAGGGGCCACCATCTTCAGAAAAACACCACTTGTCATCTGCTCAGAAGACCGTGTTCATCACACCCAATCTTTTAGAATTTTAGCCTAAATGTTGTCAGGAGGGATTTAAACTTTTCAGAAGAGAGGTGGCGCTAGTGGTAAAGAACACGCCTACCAATGCAGGAGACGTAAGAGACCTGGGTGTGATCCCTGGGAGGGAAGATCCCTGGAGGCAGGCATGGCAACCCATGCCAAGTGCTCATACCTGGAGAGTCCCCGTGGACAGAGGGGCCTGGCGGGCTGCAGTCCATGGGGCTGCAGAGTCGGTCAGAGCCGAGCAGGAGCACACTCCCGCTGAAGAGAGACGTGGGCGCCAGCTGGGGAGCCGCGCGCTTCGCCGTCCTGCCCTGGTGCTGGCCCACGATGTAGGGGCCTGCGCAGTCACTCAGTCGAGTCTGACTCTGTGACCCAAGGACCGTAGCCCGCCAGGCTCCTCTGTCCATGGGATTCTCCAGGCGAGAACACTGGGGTGCTGGAGTGGGTTGCCATTTCCTCCTCCAAGGGATCTTCCTGACTCGGGGGACCAACCTGCATCTCTTGTATCTCCTGCATTGACAGCTGCATTCTTTATTATTAGCACCACCCGGGAAGCCCAATAACACCATAATCATGCCCATTCTGCAGACCAGGAGACTGAGGCTGGTTCTATCGCAGTTGCCCAGCACCAGATCTCCCGCTCTGCGGCTGTTTGTTATCCCATAGCATCTGCCGCCACAGTGAGACCCTCGTCAGCCCCAGGCTGCCTCCTCTCTCTGATCCAGCCCATACTAAACATGGAGGTGATTACAGAGACCAAGAGCTGATTCACACAGTATGTGATCTGAGAACCAGCTCGCCCAGGTCTCAGTGCCCATAGAGCTCATCTGGAACCCTGGCATCCAGTGTGGGGCTCACTGACAGGTGTCCAGGGGGCATCTGAGCAGAGGTTGCATTGCTCAAAGTGTTGGGACAGAAACGTTATTTATTTATTTTTTTTGAATATAATAGCTTTACAGTGTTGTGTCCGTTTCTGCTGTAAAACAAAGTGAATCAGCCCTATGTATACACGTACCCTCTCCCTCTGGAGCCCCCCTCCCTCCCCACCCTGCACCCCACCCCCCGGGTCAGCACAGAGCGCTGAGCTGACCTCCCTGCGCTGTACAGCGGCTTCCCCCCCGCTGTCTGTTTACACGTGGTGCTGCGTACACGTCAGCCCTGATCTCCCAGTTCGCCCCACCCTCCCCTCTCCCCACTGTCCACTTGACCGTTCTGTCTGTATCTCTATTCCCGCCCTGCAAATAGGTTCCTCTGTACCATTTTTCTAGATTCCATCTGTGTGAGAAACTCCACGATTTAAATGAGGGGTCCCCAGGCAGTGATGAATCTGGTGCCACTAGAGGGCTCCAGAGACTCCTGGCAGGGGGTCCCCTCACGCTGGATCCTGGGGAGCTGGACACCTGCTGGGGTGTATCTGGCTCCTAGGAGGGCAGGGTCGGTCCCTCTCAAGGGAATCACGAAGCGCTTTTCAGGAAGCAGCGACATGATCACCGCCAGCTTCCCGGAGCTTCCAGCTGGAATCACCCTCGTGAGATTAACTACTTGTGCTTCGCCTTCCTTCCCCAGAGCAGCTGAATCCTCATTCAGCTTTTGAGCACAGGCTCCCCACGGGGAGAACTTACATGTCCCTTCCCAAGTTCTCTGCCCACAGAGATGCTCCAGACCCTTTACAGCCCCCCTAGCAGCCTCGTAAGCTGGATGGGTGCCGGTGAGTGTGGCGCCGTGGGGCCCCGAGCCACCACCTGCTGCCACGTGCTCCATCACAGGGAAGGGCCCAGAGCCATTCGCCCTGCCCGCAACTGCCCAGCACTGTCACCAAAGTGAGACTCTGCAGGGCTGCCCCGCACCCGGGCCATCTGAGGGCCTCTGTCCACCAGGGTGGGGCCACAGCTGAGGACGCCAGGACAGGAGGCCTGGCTGGAAATTGGCAGGCCGTCAACAGCCAGCTAAGTGAGCGGGTCTCCTCTGGCCTGTTTCCTCAGCTGTTAGAAAGAAAAAAAAAAAAAAGCAGGGCACACATACTGCTATTGCAGAAGGAAATGGCAACCCACTCCAGTATTCTTGCCTGGAGAATCCCATGGACAGAGGAGCCTGGCAGGCTGCAGCCCCTGGGGTCACAAAGAGTCGGACACGATTGAGCCGCTTTAACTCATACACCCTGCTCTGCGCTGCGCTTAGTCGCTCAGTTCCCTGTGCCCTGCTTGACAACATCGTACTCCGTCTCTCAGGTCTAAGACCTCCCTAACGTCACCTGGATAAATAATGACAGCAGACTCACCTTGCGGATATAGGCCTGCAGTCCCTTGACTCCATACATCCTGAAAACAAACCACATCTTCAAAGAGCGGAACCTCCGGCCCAGCGGCAGCTGCCAGTGCTGAAATCAGACACAAGACAGCAGCTCGTGAGGACTGTGCCAAGGGCCGGCTTCCTTTCTGACTCAAGGACTGACTTGTTTCTCCTGAAGGCAGTTAGCTCCCTGGAGGCCAACCCTCTGGCTGCCACAAGGGCAAAGCTGACAGCAGGGGCGTGAGCGGTGCAGCCAGAAACTCTCTTTACAAAGCTCCGAGGTGCTTGCGGAGTGCGTGCAGGGACCAGACCAGTGTTGGGCTCAGGTGCCATTGTGAGCAGATGTGGTGGTGTGGGCCTGCCCCGCGGGCTTACAGCCCCGGAGGGGTGGGAGGGGAATGCTCCCTGATTTCTCTGCCTACAGGAAACGAGCAGGGGGCAGCAGATACCTGCACCATCTGCTGCACATGCCCCGTGACGCCCATTCTCGAGAGCAACATGCATTTTCTTCCTGCCCCGCAGGCCACCATGGAGCAACCTGCCAGATGCCATCACCAGGAAACGCACTCATCAACACGCGGGACGTCGCGTGAGCCTTGCTGAGTTTTCCTGCATTTGTCAGCTGCCCGGCTGTGACACTCTCCAGTGGCTGTCAAGGTGCCAAAGCGAGCAGGAGTGGACGCAGAGGGGAGACGGTGCAGGGACGTTTGGGAAGGTCGAGATGGAAGCATCCTGATTTTACACGGTCACTTCCTACTGGAGCTTCTGAAGGAGATGCGGGGCACAGGGGGTGTGTCTCCATCTTTGTTCTCTGCTGGCTGCCCACAGAGCCCAGAGACGAGCTTCCTGCTGGGCGTGGGACAATGCCACTCAGGGGGTTGGGGTGCAGGGTGGCTGCGTGAGGGGCACAGCAGGCTTGGGGTCACTGCTGCTCTAGGGAATGCACCCCTGGCCATGGCACCCCACTTCTGAACTGCAATGAAACCACCAGGGGTTCTGCAGAAGCTTCTCAAGTTACAGAGAGAAACACAGGCCCAAGATTGAGGTTCAGAAGCACCCAGCACAGTGTCACTGCTGTTTACAGCAGGCGCTGTGTGGGTGCGCAGGCCACCTCACTTTATCTTCCTAACCGCACTGGGAACAGGGGTTGGTAGCTCTGTTTTATCAGGGAGAAAGCAGGCATCTAGGGGCTAGTGATGCACAAGCCCCAGTCGTGCCCACTGACACCCACTGTCCTCTATGTAGCTGGGTGTTTGCAAGCTGTTGGGGAGTCTTAGTAAAAATTAACCTCATGTGCCTTTTTGGAAAATCTACTGTCACCCCACTAAGTAACTAACTAACCAGACACTAACTAACTTACTAACTAGCACAGTGGTCCCTTGCTTACAGGATGCTGCACTCCAAAATTATTCCTCCCCAGCAGCCTCCGAGAAACTAAAATGTGAATGAAATCTAACACTGGAAAGAATAGCAAGGGAAAATTACTTTCTAAGGCATGAGGGTAAACATGCAGGCAGTTTAACTGTGTTCATTCCAGTGTCACCCTAAAGCGCTGTCACTGCCTCTCTGGGGCCTGAGGCAGGACTGGGCCAGCTTCCCCAGGAGCAGAGCCTGTGCACCGTCTTTTCCCCAGCCCTGACCAGACGGAAGGGTGGGGAGGAGAGGCCTGCTCCCGTTAGCCACCTTACTCCCAGTTTCGCTCAGAGCAGTGGCCAGAGCAGCACCGCGCTCCTGCCTGGGGACGGAGGCTGGACGCGAGTGCTGCCATCGGCGCACGTCTTATGTCCTCTGACCCTTGTCCTCCCACTGCCCTGGGAACGGCGGCTCCTGGCACACAGCCTGAGCGTGGAGCAAAGGGGCCACGTGATCCGGGGAGAGTTCTCTGCCTCACAGCAGAATACAGGCACGGGCAGCATCATCCCATCCAAGCCTCAGACCTGCTGTCAGTGCTCAGCACAGCTGAGCCCACTGCCTGGCCAGAGTGCTAGTTAGGACCCAGCCGGAGGTGTCCTCTGTAGGACCCTAGTTCCAATAGGACCGGGAGGCAGCAGGAGTGACAGCCCGTGACGGCCCCCACGCGGCACTCACAGGTTAGATTACCTCGGACCTGGACTTGGGAAGATAAATCTCCCACTTACCCTGTAGTCAGTGATAAGCCCTGCAAAGGAGAAAGAAAGAAAAAAGGAACCGTTAGACACATTGGTCGATTACCTGCCTCATTCTTTTCCATCATCTCTTGAACCGGACCAAAGACCACTGAGGGCAGGGGCTGGGTGTTCATTGAGATGATCCCCAAGGTATCAGATTCAAGGGGGGTTCCAGAGAGCAAAGCACAAGAGGAAATACTGAATTAGGAGTGGATCCCCACTCATTTCACTTTTTGCAGTTTGACAAGCAGGGAAATCTGAGATTTCTTCTGTGCCCTGGGGTGAATTGGCATTCAAATTCTGTGAAGTCTTCATCATCCATTCATTCTTGTGTGGGAAGGTGAATTTGTGATATAGAAGTGATTTGAATGTAAAGAAATCAAACTTTTGATGGGACTTTATCTCCGTGTTCTCATTTCTTAGTCTGGATTCTGGAGCTGAGTAAATACCCAGTGAGTGTCTTCCGAGTTGGCTTCATTATCTGGGATTCAAAGGTCTTCACAGGGGTTATGAACAAGGTCTGGTTCGTATTTAGGTCTCCTCTTGTGCCAAAAGCAGTAAAGTCAAAGCTGGTGTATACGGAAGAACACTAGATGAAGAGTCTCGCAGACGGGAGTCTCTACGTGGGAATCTTGGGCACAGAATCAGGTGGGAATTAGAAAGCTGTGTGTTGGAATCTGACCCTCCAGTGTCGTCCGAGCTGTCCACCTGACACAATCCTCCACCCACCCTGGTAAAATGTGCTTGGCCCACCGGGCACACGGGTCTGCCTTACATTTACAGCAAAATCTAAAATTGCAGCTTGTTAGGACTCCCCAGCTGACAGCTGGAGAGACCAGATCGACTAGGATCATACCAGTTAGGATCATAGTACAGTTATATGCAGGGCCATTTTGCATTTCCTCCTTATTTCATCTGGAACCCCGAGCAGAAGCCACAAGTCACGCAACTTAAGTCAACTCCCAAATGATGTCTTTCTTCTCTTTATGCCCCCTGGAACAGACTCATTAACAAACACCAACAGCAGTCATCAGAGGTAACAGCACCCATGAGTGTACTTGGCAGGTCCTAAACACCCAGTAAGAAGGCGACGTTGTAAAGGAGGATGAATGAAACACCTCCATTCAGGTGACTGCCCCCTCCTGATAGTCACTAGTCAGTTACACTGAATTACAATTCAGAAAACTAAAACGACTGTGCAGTCACACCAGCCACATTGCCAGTGCTCAAAAGCCACCTGTGGCTAGTGTCTGCCACATAGGACAACACAGAATTACAGGACACATCCTTCATTGCAGGAAATTCTAGTGCATTGTGCGACAGAAGCTTCAAAGAAGAGAAGTCAGATGCAGAAGCCTCTATAGCTGAACAACGTGGTTAAAGATGGAGTCTGTGTCTCAAAGAACCTGCTTCCCCAAGGACTGGCTGAAGACCTGGTCCAGTTAGGTGCTGGCCTGTACAAGTGTTTCCTGTTAACATAAAGAATGCTAAAGCCCTCTCCAGCAGCAAGTCCTAATAATGATGGTGTTACTTACACTGTGGACTACTTACTACATCCTACATCCCTTAGTTCAGTTCAGTCACTCAGTTATGTCCAACTCCTTGCAACCCCATGGACTGCAGCATGCCAGGCTTCCCTGTTCATCACCAACTCCCAGAGTTTACTCAAGCTCATGTCCATCTAGTTGGTGATGCCATCCAACCATCGCATCGTCTGTCATCCCCTTCTCCTCCCACCTTCAATCCCTCCCAGCATCAGGGTCTTTTCTAATGAGTCAGTTTTTTGCATCAGGTGGCTAAAGTATTGGAGTTTCAGCATCAGTCCTTTCAATGAATATTCAGGACTGATTTCCTTTAGGATGGACTGGTTGGAACTCCTTGCAGTCTAAGGGACTCTGGAGAGTCTTCTCCAACACCACAGTTCAAGAGCATCAATTCTTTGGTACTCAGCTTTCTTTATGGTCCCACTCTCACATCCATACATGACTACTGGAAAAACCATAGCCTTGACTAGATGGACCTTTGTTGGCAAAGGAATGTCTCTGCTTTTTAATATGCTATCTAGGTTGGTCATAACTTTTCTTCCAAGGAGCAAGCATCTTTTAATTTCATGGCTGCAGTCACCATTTGCAGTGATATTGGAGCCCCCCAAAATAAAGTCTGTCACCATTTTCATTGTTTCCCCATCTATTTGCCATGAAGTGATGGGACCAGATGCCATGATCTTAGTTTTCTGAATGTTGAGTTTTAAGCCAACTTTTTCACTTTCCTCTTTCACTTTCATCAAGAGGCTCTTTAGCTCTTTGCTTTCTGCCATAAGGGTGGTGTCATCTGCATATCTGAGGTTATTGATATTTCTCCTGGCAATCTTGATTCCAGCTTGTGCTTCACTGAGCCCAGCATTTGTCATGATGTACTCTGCATTTAAGTTAAATAAGCAGGGTGACAATATACAGCCTTGACGTACTCGTTTCCTGATTAGGAACCAGTCTGTTGTTCCATGTCCAGTTCTAACTGTTGCTTTTTGACCTGCATACAGAGTTCTCAGGAGGCAGGTCAGGTGGTCTGGTATTCCCATCTCTTTCAGAATTTTCCACAGTTTATTGTGATCCACACAGTCAAAGGCTTTGGCATAGTCAGTAAAACAGAAATAGATGTTTTTCTGGAACTCTCTTGCTTTTCCAATGATCCAACAGATGTTGGCAATTTCCTCTCTGGTTCCTCTGCCTTTTCTAAATCCAGCTTGAACATCTAGAAGTTCACAGTTCATGTACTGTTGAAGCCTGGCTTGGAAAATTTTGAATATTACTTTGCTAGCATGTGAGATGAGTGCAGTTGTGTGGTAGTTTGAGCATTCTTTGGCAGTGCCTCTCCTAGTATGTCTTTAAACTACATAAGACATAACTGGGGTGAGCAGCTTCTAAATATGCATATAGTAAAAACAATAAAACCAAACAATGCATATAAGAACACTGGTGAGAAACACAGCCACATATTAACGGGATCAACATCTGGGTGGAGGGTTAAGTTCAGGGTTATGTTTCTGGCCTACCTCTTTTCTATTGTCCGGATGTACAGTTTTTATAATGAAAGAATTCATTGGAAAAGTCTATATACCAGGTATGACTACCATTTTCCTATTATCTGTTTTGTGACAGAAATTTCTGACATCAAAGTAAAAACCCCATGTTTTCGGTCGCTGTCTGGCACAAGTCCAGTGGAACAGTGTCTACGAAAGTGAGACGCAGACGGGAACACGTGGGGGCCACCGTCACCCCCAGCGCTGCTGCCAGGACCTGGCCGGCCAGAGGAGCCGCAGGGCGAGACCCCCGCTCCAGGGGTCTTTGCTTCCAGTGACAGACGAGTGACCAGGGAAGGAGCCGTGGGGAGAGGCGAGCGGCAGGGCTGGCTCACAGGAAGAGGTCCGGGAGGACCCCTGCCCGGCTAGGCATTTGTCCCAGACCCACGTGGCGGGGGAGGAGGCCCCGGGACCCAAGGAGGGACGTGGCCACGGCCTCGGGGGCTGCCGTGTGAGGTGAAGAGCAGGGCCACGTGCGCAGTCCTGAGCGGTCTTGTTTTTGCAGTTAAGTGATGAAGAGATTTCTTTTTTGAGTAGAAAGGCTCTTAAAGAAACACTATAAACATATTTCGCTTAAAATTACAGAAGGCTTAGCAGGAGAGTGATATACTATATCAGATAAAATAAACCCTTACATCCACTAGGCATAGAAGATTAAAGCTGATTTTGGGTGGTTTACCTGCTAGACACAAAATAGGTCATTGCTTTCGTCGATTCATACTTTTTTAGGGAAAAAAATACAAATAACTAAGATTGTTCATCTCTAACAGCCATAGCTGTTTTTTCAGTCAGAAACTGCCTTTCCTTAAACATAGAATAAAATTACTTTAAAGAAGTTCCTGGAGTAATAAACTTTACTCAGTTGCCTTTGGCTTAAACTCTTTCTGTGGCTTGTAGGATTTTGGTTTCCTGACCAGGGATTGAACCCAGGGCTCTGGCAGTGAAAGCACTGGGTCCTCACCACTGGACCACCAGGGGATTCCTGAGAATTCCTTCATTGTTGAAGAGCCACATTTTGCAAGGTGTCATGACTGCTGAGGTTTTCATTATTCAAACATGAAATCCACCTTTAAATAGAAGAGCTTTGACAGTTGGTTCATAATTCCTCATGGCTTCATGACAGTGCTATTACAGGAACTAGAGTTTATTTTTCAGAGCAGTTTTAAGTTCTGAGCAAACCTGATCTGACGGTGAGAGCTGGCATCTGATGTGCTCCATGACATGGTGGGGAATGTTAGGAAGGTGGACCCAGGTCTGATCTTCCCATGGAGACAGCACAGGCTGGGGTCTGGGCAGGAGGGAACAGGCTGCGCCCTGACTTGCGTCCCTGCTGCTCCATGCTCCTGCCACTGTCACCAAAACTGCCTCAATTTCTAACCCGTCCATCCCTCCTGTCCATGTGGAGGGTGGGGTCGAGTGACCCCTGATGTCCCTCCCATTATCACGTCCTCTGTCATCCAAGGAAACTTGAGGAGAAGGGGCACGATTTCCCAAGACTCGGCCTGTCCTTCCTTCCCTGGGGCTCACAGTGGTCAGCATGGCACCAGCTGGGGACTATGCAGGTTTGGGGGATGAGAGAGCCCCCTCCCACCTGCAGGCCGAGTCTTGTGGGGACAGACAAGCGAGTATTAATAAATAACCTCCCCAGAATGCGTATGACTATAAACGGACACAGAGGCGCAGGGCGTCTGTGCAGGTAGCCTCATGCATTTTATCTTATCTGGATCTCAAGCAATCCTAATTTCTCTTAACTGAGAGACTTAATGTTTAGAGCTCACATTCGTGAGTCGACCCTGACCTAACGTCTCCCATCTCCTCCTCTCTGGCCGCTGGCCCACCACCTTCCTTTCCTTTCCTCCCCTGGTGTTATCAGCCTGCTGTTCAGTCACTAAGTTCTTTGACTCTGCGACTTCACAGACTGCAGCACGCCAGGCTTCCCAGTCCTTCACCACCTCCCAGAGTTGGCTCAAACTCGTGTCCAGCTGTCCTGGCCCTGCCCTGGGCCCCCAGGACTGTGGCTGCGACGCTCCACCTTGGCTCCCAGACAGTGGATGCGGCCGTGATGGGAACAGTCTGGAGGGAGCTGGGCGTAGCTCACCTGAGTCCTGGTGGCTGTGCCTCAGGTAGACCGGGTCCAGCCTGAAGGCTCCGGTCAGGTCTGTCCTCTTTTTCACCCTGGTTTGAGACAATAGACAGAGGATGTAATGAGGAGGCATCTCAGGTGTGTCTGCAGGGTCCTCTCCTCCTGCTGCTTCTCCTGCCCAGCTCAGCTGGGGCTACTGGTCCTTGAAACCCTTCCTAACACCCCTGCTCAGCACGGGCATGCCCCTTCCCTAGCCTGCAGCACAACATTAACCTCCAGAGCCCTGGGCCCCTGCAGTGGGGGAGGCATGGTATAATAAAAAAATAAGTATTTGGCCTTTGTCCCTGGTTCCAGCACCCAGTTCCTGAAACCCTTGGGACAACGGCTGGATGGGATGAAGCCTGGGCAATTGGCTGGCTTCAGGGTCCAAGCTGGCTGCCAGGAAACTAAGTCTTGATTGAAGGGGCAGAAGTGTGAATCCTGCCCCCTGATCTCCAAGAAAGGACTTGAGCTAGATCATCACCAACTGCCAGCGATTTAATCAGTCATACCTGTACAAGGAAGCCTCCTTAAACCCCTAGACGATGGGGTGCAGAGAGCTTTGGGGCAGCTGAACCACATGGGCAGGCTGGGAGGGACCCACGCCAGGCAGGTAGGGGTCTCTGTGCCCCCCAGTCCCAACCCTGCCTCGTCCTAGCATCTCTTCCACTGGCCATTCATTCGGGTCCTTATAATACACCAGTAAATATAAATGAGTTGTTCTAGCCAACTGTCAGACCTGAAGGAGCAGTGGAAGGAGCTGTGGGAACCCCCAACTTTACAGCCAAGGTGGATGCAAGTGCGGTTCTTTGGGATCCGGGCTGTGAGACTTCTTGCCGGGGCTGTGCTTACAGCGGTGTCAGAGCTGCACCAGGTTCGGGGACATCCGCTGGTTCTGGAGAGCAGGGGGACGGGGGCTGGAAGAGGAACCCAGCAGGTTGGAGTTCGTCCCTCTCTGTCCTTCCAGGCCTGGCACAGCCCTGGCCCTTGACGAGCATCCCAGGCAGGTATAGGATGAACAGGGACTGTCAGGCAGGAGGCACTGCCTGCACCATCCCAGACCAGCCCTTCATGCCTCTGGGCACCTCAAAGCAATTGTGTGCAAATGCAATCCTGCAGGCAAACTAGAGAAAGAGCCAAGTCTGATGGCACTGAGGCTGGAAGCGAATGAGAGTCCCCGGAAGGTGAAACCCAGGGGGCATGAAGTAGGAAGCCAGGATGCAGCTCACAGAGGAGGATCAGGGAGCAAGGGGCTCGAGCTGACTTGAAGTGACTGCTTCAAAGGCTTAGAAGACAGTGAATTCCAGTAGCATGAGCTTGTGCGCCATGTTGCATCCTGCAACATCCTGAGACCAAAGTCTTTGTCCCCTTCCCAGAAGCAGCAGAGAGGCTGGGAAGGGCAGGAAGGGAAACTGGAGACATGAAATTGACAGCCAGGGTATGCAATCTGAGATTATGGAGATGAGAATTTCTTCCGCCCAGATAGAATCATGTTTATTTTTTCAGCTGTACCTTTTATCATCATTCACTATCCTGCTCCCTCAATTTTCATGAAGTTGAAAATGGTTGCAATTTATCTTTTTCCAAGAGACCATGTTTTTAAAAAGTGTCTTTTGCAGAGTGAAGAAAAAGAAACCTAAAACAAAAAACTGCAGTGAGCAGCCTTAAGCTGTTTGGGGCTGACCTGGAGGAGAACCCGAAGCAGGGGCTATGTGTGTGTAGTGTGTACACGGACCAGGCTGCACCCCTGGCTTTGGGGGACCATTTCCTCCAGCCTCTCCATGCTGGGGAAGGTCATGCCGAGCCATAGAGAGACAGGAGAGAAAGGGGGTAGAAACAGCATCGCTTTCAGCAGACCTCTGCCCTTTGTATGTAAAGTCACACTGCCCTCTCCACAGACACTGGCAATGATTTTGTAGCTGCTTTTTTTAAGTTAAAAATACTATATGCCGTGTTAAAGCGATGCAGAAGAGCATAAATAATAACATATCCACCTCATCACGTGTGAAACAAAAGTTGCCCACAGGTTAGGTCTCCCCTACACGACCCTCCCCTCGCCGCCAGCCCCTCGGGACGCCATGAGGCAGCATGCGGGTTTATCACGCCATTGGGTTCTACAGAATTTTCTGTGCAAATCACTAAGTGATCTAAGGTATTGTGTCACACATTTCTAAGTGAAACACAATGTAAGCACAAGTTGTTTAAACATAAACGGTGGCTTTCTCTGTGTAATTTTTAGAATTTGCTTTTTCTCTTAAAACGACACCTGTGAGCTTCTGACCTGGTCATCCACAAGGTGCTTGCTCACTTGTCCACTTTGACCAGCTCCCCGCAGGGCGCTGCAGCAGTGGATCCCAATCTGTGCCTGCTCTTACTGTGCCCCACGTGCCCTTGGACGGAGGACACTGTGTGGGTGCTCCCGGTGCGTCGGGGGCAAGCTGGGGACACCGGCCTAGTCGTGGGCCAGCAGGAAAGGCGCGGTGCCCGCAGCCTCGTGGGGCAGAGCCAAGTGCTCCTAAAGGCCCAGCAGCGCACGCACTCCTGATGATCCGCATCCCGGCCGACATCTAGCCAGGGAGACAATTTCCCACCGATGGCAGTGCTTCCTATGCCTTAACGTGCATTTCTAATCACTAACAAAGCTGAGTAACTTTGCCTCTATGAAGTGGCCACTCCCATTTCCTCTTTGGTGAGGACACGTTTGTTCATTTATTTATTAGGCTGTGTGCCTCTGTGTGGTAGACAGGATCGTAAAAATATGGTAAATATTAGGAATGCGGGTCCAAAGCGTTGTCTGTGGGCTCCCTCTGACCTCTGCCTGGCTGTGTCCCTCCAACGAGTGTGACTCAGTCATTGTGGGATGGGGCGTGGTCCTCACCAGTCTTGTCTTCACGCTTCTCTTGGCTGTCCTGGGCCTCTGCACTATTCGGCTCCACTTTCTTGAGTCCTACAGAAATAGCCAGCCAGAATACTTACTAGAATTGCCCTGAGACCTGGCATTGAGTCCGCATCTCCATTTCGTTAGGTTTCCTGGAATGACTTCCAAAAAACGGTGTCCTTTTCTTCATAAAAATCTACACAGATTGCAACCTATTTATTCACAATAACTTTTCTTGCTATTATAAAAATATTTTCTAAAAATTTTGACAGCAAACAGTAAAATTCTGTAAAGCAATTATCCTTTAATAAAAAATAATTTTAAAAAAGACATAGAAAAAATTTTACACATACTGTTTATCATCCATGTAAATAAATGTAACCTTGAAAGTGCGGTGTATCTAGAAATCTTGCTGTGTTCTCTCATTATTACCTTCTTAGAAGATTCTGTTTTCACACAGACACTCACACCATCTGAGAACCATGAGTTCTGTGGCTTGCACGGTAATCCTTGCACCATCACCTCTGTTGTGTCCAACTGTGCAGGTTAGGAATGCACAGAGCAGCCAAGAGTGGGCATTATGGCAGTTGTGATTTTCTTTCTTTAAAGGCACTGCTTCTAATATTTTACCACCAAGAATATATTTGCTGTAGTTTTTTTCGTAGATTTTCTTTTTTTATCGGATTAAGAAAGTTCTCTTCAGTTCCTCTTTTCTAAGAGCTTTTGTTCTGTGTGTTTTTGAATTTTTATCTACTGCTTTTTCCATATTTAATGTGACAATAACTTTTAACGACATTTAAAAATCTGATATTTTTAAACCACCCTGGGATATCCAGAATGAACACATTTTGGTTATGATATACCAGCTTTTGTTTTCCTTTAAATATCATTGAATTTTGTTTGCCAAAAATTGACTTAGAATTTCCATATGTGATTTTATGAGCTTGTCCTGCAGCTTTTCTTTTTCAGCTTCTCATGTTTTTTTCAGAGACTTTCCGATGTAGACCATTTTAAAGTCTTTATTGAATTTGTTACAATATTGCCTCTGTTTTATGTTTTGGTTTTTTGGTATGCAGATCCTAGGTCCCCAACCAGGAATCAAATCTGCACCCCCCACATGGGTCATCTACTATGATATCATCTACTATGATAAAAGCATGAGAAAGAACATCAAGAAAAGAAGAAGAGATGGAGAAATTGGAAAACATGAAATAAATGAAATGGGATCACTGAATGTGAAATAGAAAAAGTGAAGCAAGCTAGACAAAAGATCATCAAATAGTCCAGTTGTTTTAAAACATGGCTGCTCATTAGAAACATATCTGGAGTTTTGGAGAAAATTTTAAAATCCAGATGCATAGCAGAATTATCTTGGAATTTTTTGAAAAATACAAATGCCCAGGTATTGCTTTTTTTTCTTGGAAGGCTGTCTTAGCCACTGAACCACCAGGGAAATCCTTTTACCTGGTTTTGGAAACAAAGTGACACTAACTTCATGATAAGTCTATGAATTACGTTTATAATTATACCTGTAGATGCCTTGACAGTTTGGTAGGACTTGCTGTTAGAAGAATCTGAGTGTTTCTGTGGTATAAACTGTACCTACTGACACATTTTCCTTAGGGCCATGAGGTGTTTCGGATTTCCTATTATTCTGATAACAGGTTTTTTGGAGTTGTTGCATGTGCACATTTGCAGGCAATTCTGGCATGCTATTGCTCACAGGGCTCCCTATTGTTTAAAACCCTGCTGTGTCTGTGGTGTGTCCTTCTTGTGTTTCCAGCACGGCTGGCTGCGCCCTCTCCTCTATCCTGGCCCCTCTTTCTGCAGATCACCCATTTTATGAGGCAAATCGAGGACCAGCACATGGCTGTTGGCCTCGGCTCCTGCTGCCTCATTTCCTGTTTCATGAACGCCTCTTCACCTTCAGTACTTCCCTCCCTCCAGTTTGGGGGTGTTTACTCTGAGGCCGTCTTCTGCTTCCTTTGGGCTCTCATTCGTTACTTCTTGGCTCTTGTCTTTTCTGTTTAAATATTCTCCAAGCCCTGCTTCACTGTGGGCCATGAGTTCTGTCGCATCTTCATATTCATGCAGGTCTTGGGATTTCCAACGAACTGTTTCCCTTTGTCCATTGGCCCGTGGCTCCAGTGGTCTGTGGGGGTCTGCTCTTCAAAA